AATGAAAAGCGAGTACATGTATTTAACCAATTTTGGATTTTATTTTAAATAAATGTGTGTGTGAAACAATATAATTTGCATAAAGAAATGATGGGGTTCTTCTCTAAAGAAGTCGTCACTCCACCCCGTTCATTATGGGTGTTTTACGTTATAACTAACGTGGTTCAAACCATGGATCTGCGACAGAAAAACTACGAGTTTTGGGAAACACTCGTCACTACATCGTTCTCTTCCCAAATGATGCATCGTACTATGATAACTCAGCCATGAGTTATGTCGTTGTTTGGGAAACGCACCCCAGTTTGATGTTAATTGACTACTTTGATTTTAAAACAACATCAAATTGATATCTAACATTGGCGTCAAATATCAAAAATCAAATAAAGGTAAATCCAGTAATCATTTTTGATGTGTTTTTTTTTTGCACCAACGTTGGATGTCAATTAGACATCATTTTGACAAAAAGGTATTTTACAAAATCCAATGTGAGTTCGTACTTGAAGCTTTCAAATAAATGTAACTTTTCATATATTATTATGCTTTTTTGTGTTCTTATTTTGGTGATCAAAAGAGCATAAATCAGAATCAGTTTTATTGCCAAGTGTGCTTCACACACAAGGAATTTGTTTTAGCTACAGAAGTGTCTAGTGTACATTAAAGGGCACCTAGGTTACCCCTTTTTTCAGATTTAATATAAGTCTTTTGCGTCTCTAGACTGTGTATATAAAGTTTCAGCTCAAAAAACCCATCAGATTTTTCATTATACCTTTTAGAAGATGCTGTTTTATACTGATTTCCAGCAGAGGGTGGTTTTGTTGTACTGCGCCTTTAAGGCGAGTTCTGCCCGCCTACTGTTTCAACGTGCCTTCCCGCGTGCTTTAATCTCCTCCCTCAGCTGCATCAGACAACAGACATACTTAAAGGAAGAAGGTCTCACATAGCGTTTGTGAGAAATACTACAGTAAGAACTAACCTTTACTAATCAGTATTGTGAAGTTGCATTGATGAGTCACACACAATATCGTTACAAAGTTCACATGCGCGCGCGCACACACACACACACACACACACACACACATAAACACACACACCGCAGCTGACACACACACATGCAGGCAGGCAGACAGACAGAGCGCGCTTAGCTTAGCACTGTTTTTGCACTCAAATGTGACAGGATACAGGCTAATCTCCACTGCTGTTTGGATATCAGTTATGTTTTTTTTTTTGCCTTTGTTAGATGGGACAGTATTAAGACAGGAAGCGAAGTGGGAGAGAGAGAGAGGGGGTAGGGTAGGGAAATGTCCTCGAGCCAGGATTCGAACTCGCGACGCCCTGACGTACTATTGCACCATATGTCGGCACGCTAACCACTAGGCTATTGCACCGACTGGATATCTGTTATGTTAATGTACAAAATAAACCTGATTTAACGTCCACAAACCGGGATTGAAGCGTCTTCTTTTATAATTGTTCTGACACGCGGCTGTGCTGATGAAGTAAAGCTGAAGTAAATCGCTGTGATTAATTACACATGTGCACTTTTTTAAAACACTTTAAACATGTGAAACTCACTCTTAATCACATTTGATGATGATTGCTGATCCTAGCGAACAGAACAGACCTTTTATTCCCGGTTGCTTTGCGTATGTCTGTCTGGTCTTGTTGACATATACATGTGACTACCGGGACATGTTAATGCGCGCAGCTGTCAATCAATTCGGTGGGCGGGGGGACCGCACTAGAGATCTGCGCGGGACTAAATTTTGAAACCTGCCTGGTTTTAGCCCGAACCTGACCGCTCCCGCTTATATTAAGAATTTATTGTCCCGCTGCCCGACCCGCCCCGTTTTCTGCCCGCCGCGCCCGATCCCGCTAAGGAGCGGAGGAGAACAAAACCGAAAATCCCCCAGCTATACAGTCCAGACAGCCAAGCTGTCTGTATAAACAAACACACACACACAGCACCAAGCACACACACACAGACAAATCTCTCTCTCTCTCTCTCATACGCGCGCGCTCACTAACACACACACAAGCACCAAGCAGACACACAGGCGTTTGCTGTTATTTCAGCTCAAAGGCTTGTAATACCATGTATCAAGTACCAATGTAATACCAAAAGGTTTTTATAAAGGTATATAAATACTGAGTCGCGCCAGCTCCGGCCGCAGCGCACATTACTCTCGGGCCGATTCCGGTGCGGATGCGGCAGCGTCGGCTCGCTTACGGCCGCCGCATCTGGCCCGATTGATTCGGGCCGGAATCGGGCAGTGAGTCCACAAGCATCCGGAGTCCGGCAGCCGGAGCCGGGCTGAGTGGTAAGTCTCTGGCAGGCGAGAATCTAGCCAGAACTGGCCCGAGTGTATTTTGCTATCTGGGAAAGCTCTCTCACTCTCTCTCTCTCATTCGCGCGTGCGCACTAACACACACACACACACACAAGCACCAAGCACACACACAGGCAAAGCTCGCTCGCTCTCTTTCTCCCTCTCTCTCTCTCTCTCTCTCTCATAGCAATATCCGCGGTATTGCTAGACAGCCCGCTCCTGTCCCAAATTAAACCCGTTACCGACCGCTCCCGCGATTTATTCGGAAATTTATTCCCGCGCCGCAGAAATCTGGTCGGGTCCCGCGGGAATGCAGACCTCTAGACCGCACTCCTACATAAAGTTGCGGTCAGTCTGAAAACCGCTCCAATTGGTCCACCGTTTTTATGTTGTGAAATTGAAAAAAAGGACTGGGTGTGTTTGTATCACCCCAATATGATGGTCTATACACTATATATACTATATATGTTTGTCCAAATAGCTTGAAAAGTAGATTTTTCACCATAGGTGCCCTTTAAGTGAAAAGTGACAACACAAAATAAATAGGAGAAAAAAAGGCGTTAAACATTAAACAGAGATGCTGTTAGTCAAGAAAAGATCTGGATGTTGAATTGTATGTACAGATTTTTTATTATAAATGTGTGGATATTAAAGAGATGGTCAAAGTTTTGACATCAAATCGATTCGCATTTTCGACGCGTTTTTTTGACATAAACATGACCGCTGGGTTAACAAATTTGATTTATCAAGAAGTGTTATTTCATATGTGTGTTGCTGCACTGTAAAAATGTCTGGCAATTATCTGTGTTTTGCGATTCATGTTTTAATCCACTTAATTCTACTTTTGAATTGCACAATGGAGCCTTGATCTTTCTTCCAAAAGCTTTTGATGATGAAAAGTTTGTAAAAGTGTCTTTTGTTGACATTTTGATTAGTTTGAAGTGATATATTGTCCGGGTTGGTGTTACAAAAAACTAAATTCATGGTACAAAAACCTGGTAATAAACTGTTATTTTACAGACTTATTTCATTCATTCATTTTCTTTTCGACTTAGTTCCTTTATTAATCTGGGGTCAGCACAGCGGAATGAACCACTAATTTATCCAGCATATGCTTTACGCAGCAGATGCCCTTCCAACTGCAACCCATCACTGCACACTCAGTCGCACACACACACTAGGGAAAATTTTAGCTTGAACAATTCCCCATACCACATGTTTTTAGACTTGTGGGGAAAACCGAAGCACCCAGAGAAATGTGGGGAGAACATGCAAACTGTACACAGAAACGCCAACTCACCCAGCCAAGGCTCGAACCAGTGACCTTCTTACTGTGAGGTGAACGTGCTAAACACTTTGCAGCCCCTACAGACTTGATTATCTATATTATGTCTTAATATCTTATCTCAAACTATTACAATGACAATTAAAGTCATTTTGTTAAAACTGCACAGTTGAGTTTTCCAACACAGGCTCATTTGGAAAACGTAGCCCCATATATATTTCTGGAGATCGCGAATTATGTAGCCAGAGCTACATTCATTCATTCATTCATTCATTTTTTTGTCGGCTTAGTCCCTTTATTAATCTGGGATCGCCACAGCGGAATGAACCGCTAACTTATCCAGCAAGTTTTTACGCAGCGGATGCCCTTCCAGCCGCAACCCATCTCTGGAAAACATCCACTCATTCACACACACACTCATACACCACGGACAATTTAGCCTACCCAATTCACCTGTACCGCATGTATTTGGACTGTGGGGGAAACCGGAGCACCCGGAGGAAACCCACGCGAACGCAGGGAGAACATGCAAACTCCACACAGAAGCGCCAACTGAGCCGAGGATCGAACCAGCGACCCCCTTGCTGTGAGGCGAACGTGCCAGAGCTACATATGGCTGCATTTTGTTTTTAAAATGAATGCTACGGAGCGGTATGACGCCGTTCCTTTTCGCGCTTACCAGCTGACTGCTTACCTCCGTGTGGACGGCTTTTCTACTGTTACCGGTTTGTCCAGTGGCTCGCCACGTACATTGGTGGCCTTGAGAAGCAGAGAGGAGTTGACCATGACGATGGGGTGTTTTGTGAAGAACGGTACCAGGAAGCAGGTAAAACTAAAACGAAAGGCAAAAAATAAAATAAACAAGTAAAAAACAGGGTGAGAATCTGGTACAATCAGAAAACGTGGTAAACTCAGGCTTCTCTGGATTGCTTTTGTCGGTTGGGAGTTAGGGAAGGGGCAGGTCAATCTTTGCATTTAAAAACACTATCAGTAGGGTTTACAGGAGGAGGAGGGTGGGTCAGTCGACGTCAGTTGACAGTGGCTTCTGGTGCGTTTACATGAGAAGAGCAGGCGAGAATGGCACTCGCAAGAGACATTTGAGATCTGAAAAAGTGCACACAGCAGTCTCTGTTGCATTTGTGAAAACAAAAACTGCAAAAAACGTAGCTCCTGGGATGTATTTTGCGCTCTCCAGACATGCATGTAGGGGTATGTAATCAAAACAGGCCTGGGTTGGAATTTTCAACATCAAAAGTGGACAGAGCAGAGATCAAGCTCCCATAATGCAATTCACAACCGTAAATAAAGAGTTGTGAAGCACACAATATGGAAGCTGTTAATTAACAGATATTTTTTACAGTGTGGCTAAATCTTTCCTCTTTCTCAAGTCAAGACCAGTAAGATTTACAGTCGAGGTTCAGTGGTGATGGTGGATGAAATCATCAATGCCAGTCCACCAAATTACCGTTTCCCTGAAGCTGGTCTGCGTGTGATGGTCACAAACCACTTCGGACCCAAGACTCGTCTGCGTATGGCCAGTCGCCTCATTATAACAGAGGTACGGATGATGTCTGAATGTACAATACAAAATGCGACAAACGTAAATCAATAAATGTCAGTACTTCTCACATACAGTTAAAGTCAATTTTTCGCTCTCCTGTAAATCTCTCCCCCCCCAAATACTTCTCAAATTATGTTTAACAGAGCAAAGAATTTTTCACAGTATTTCACATATTTTTTATCTTCTGGAGAAAGTCTGATTTGATTTATTTTGGCTAGAATAAAAGCAGTTTTTAATTTTTTTTAAAACTATTTTAAGGTCAATATATTAGCCCCATAAGCATTTTTTCAATTGTCTACAGAACAAACCGCTGTTACACGATAGGTGCGTTCGGCATAAACACAGCTGCAGCCGGAACCGTCATGCCGGGCACTTGGGGGTTCAACGTTGCTGCAGTCAGGATGACCAATCACATGGCGTGATTATTTATTTATTTAATGCAATAACAACAAACAATTTACAGTATGAATAAATCAGAATACAGTCTCTACAAACTATAGTTCATTTTTAAACAATACAAGATTTATAAATTAAATTTAAGTCACCTATATAACAAACACATGAGAAATAAGGGGAAAAAGAGAGGGCACATAAAAAGAAAATACATATCCACGAATAGGACTATTTTAGATAATAAAGCATTTTTAAAAAGGCACTTCAGTCCAAAAAGGTTAAACAAAAGGAGCAAAATAAATGATATAAAATTATATTTTTATTTAATAAAATATATTTTTAACTTAATTTGTTAGGAAACCCATATAGGGGGGTGGGGATCAATGATGAAAATAATTTTATTACAAGTATGTAAGTCTTATTTGAGTTAATATTTAGGTTATTCACAAAAATATATCATTTAAATCATTTATGGGGTTGAATACAATAAATAGTCTGTATAAAAAGGTTGAATAAACCTATGAACAAATGATTGGACAAAAGATAGAGATGGTATGAAAATGGAATTGTTCGTTTTGAAATTTATGAGATGAAAGTTGTCCAATAATAAACCGAAACACGTGGTTGTTGTCATGCGGTGAACTCGGCCAATCGTGTAATAACAGTGTCGTCATCGCAGCTCCTGCAGTCGCTCTTCAGATGCTGCACCGGCTGAATCAAATGTCTGATCTTGGATCGCTGTCACCGTACCAGGGCAAAATATACTGGCAGGCTAAAAATAGGTTGGAGTAGCGCAATAGAAAATACCATTTGTACAGTAAAAAACAAAACAATGGAAACCTATGAAATGTTTATGAAATTTAAAAAAAAGCAAAAAATGTGTGTGTATTTATTTATTAACATTTGTGTATTTATATATTTTTATTTATTTATGCTGCTTAAGGTGTATTTCATAAATATTAGTTTTATATAATTGTTTTATTTTGAAATGTTTAATTATGCTTAGTTAAATATTTTATTATATATATATATATATATATATATATATATATATATATATATATATATATATATATATATATATATTTTGCTATTATTTACATTTAGTTTAATATTAGTTTTTTCTTGCTGACTGCCAGTAAAACGTAAGATCAATTTGTAATGTTTTGAATGACAAAATAAAAGCTGTATAATAAATGACTTAAAACTTCTGTGTGTGTATGTGTGTGTGTGTGTGTGTGTGTGTGTGTGTGTGTGTGTGTGTGTGTGTGTGTGTGTGTGTGTGTGCGTGTGCGTGTGCGTGCGTGCGTCTGCGTGTGCTTGTGCGTGCGTGCGTGCGTGTTCAGCGCCAGAGGTTGGTCCAGTCCGCTAACGGTGTTGAGACGGCTGTGGTGGATGGAAAACCAGACATTGAGAATGGAAATGTACCAGAAGACAAAAGCACAGAGGAAAAGGAGAGTGAACTCACCACACCATTCAGATTACCAGGTGAGCAGAACACAGGCTTCTGTTTCTGTTTAAAAGACGATTCAATGAAAAAACACAATAACGTTATATATTTAAGCATTATAAAGTGTAAAGCATGTTATAACTTTTGTTAAATTGTGACGTATGCAATACTGTTTTCAAGAGCTGTAGCGAAAAATCATTTGTAATTATACAATGATAAATTAATTCTGTTCATTTATGTGATTTTTAAAATGCATTGCTTTAGAGCGCCATCTAATGTTAAAAACTAGCCAAGAGTGACATATACCAGCCTAAAGGTCCATCTGCTATCCTTGAGCACCGTCTGATGTTAAGAACTAGCCTAGAACATCATCGGCTGTTAAAACTAGTCTAAAACAATGTCTGTCTTTGAAAACGTGCCTCCAGCGCTCTCTGCTGGAAAAAAACTAGCATAGAGCACTGTCTGCTGTTAAATACTATACTAGAGCACCAGCTGCTGTTAAAAACTAGCCTAGAGTGTCATCTGCTGTTAAAAATTAATCTAGATCATCATCTGCTGTTAAAAACTAGCCTAGAATGGTTTCTGCTGTTAAAAACTAGCCTACAGCGCCATTTACTATTAAAAACTAGCCTAGATCATCATCTGCTGTTAAAAACTAGCCTAGAGTGCCATTTACTGTTAAAAACTAGCCTAGATCATCATCTGATGTTAAAAACTAGCCTAGACCGCCATCTGCTGTAAAAAACTATCCTAGAGCATCATCTGCTGTTAAAAACTAGCCTAGACCGCCATCTGCTGTAAAAAACTATCCTAGAGCATCATCTGCTGTTAAAAACTAGCCTAGACAGCCATCTGTTATTAAAAACTAGCCTTGAGCGTCATTTACTGTTAAAAAAATAGCCTAGAGCGCCATTTACTGTTAAAAACTAACCTAGAGCACCATCTGCTGTTAAAAACTAGCCTAGAGTACCATCTGCTGTTAAAAACTATCCTAGAGCACCATCTGCTGTTAAAAACTAACCTAGAGCACCACCTGCTGTTAAAAACTAGCCTAGAGCATCATCTGCTGTTAAAAACTAACCTAGAGCACTATCTTTGGTTAAAAACTAGCCTAAAGCACCATCTGCTGCTAAAAACTAGCCTAGACCGCCATCTGCTGTTAAAAACTATCCTAGACTGCCATCTGTTGTTAAAAACTAGCCTAGAGCATCATCTGCTGTTAAAAACTAGCCTATACCGCCATCTGCTGTCAAAAACTAGCCTAGAACGCTTTCTGTTGTTAAAAACTAGCCTAGAGCACCATCTGCTGTAAAAACAAGCCCAGAGCACCATATGCTGTTAAAAACTCGCCCAGAGCGCCATCTGCTGTTTAAAAACTAACCTGGAGTGCCATCTGCTGTTAAAAACTATCCAAGAGCACCATCTGCTGCTGAAAACTAGCCTACAGCTCCATCTGCTGTTAAAAATAGGCTAGAACACGTCTTCCTTTAAAAACTAGAATAGATTGCAGACTACAGTTAAAAACTAGCCTAGAGCGCCGTCTGCTGTTAAAAACTAGCCTTGCATGTTTAAAACAAGCTTCTTCAAATAACAGTGTGTGTGTGTTTGTGTGTGTGTGTTTCAGATGGCTGTATGAACAGAACTAAATGGCTGATCTCTTGGCCGTTGTTGTTGATCCTGTTTTTTACCATCCCGAACTGTGCCAAGTCTCGCTGGGAGAAATACTTCATGCTCTCTTTTATCCTCTCCACTGTTTGGATCGCCGTCTTCTCATACTTCATGGTGTGGATGGTATGTATGAAACTGTATCTGTCTGTCTGGATCAGATGTGTCTCTCTTGTTTTTAAGTGCCACTGTTAGGCTTATATCAACATACAGATGACACTTGACCAGTTTCCATTACTTCTTCCAGGTGACAATTATTGGATATACGCTGGGCATTCCTGATGTCATCATGGGTATCACGTTTTTGGCTGCAGGAACGAGTGTCCCGGACTGCATCGCCAGTTTGATCGTGGCTCGTCAAGGTAGATTGATCATGTTTTAATGTCTAATGCTAGATCAATAAAACGGAGGCTTTTAACATTAAATACTGAATATTTTAGCATCAAGGAGCAGAGTAGAGCATATGATAAGAGAGGCACAAAACATCATCAGGAACATTCCTGTGTCACTCTCCGTCACTGAACTAATACTAATCCATACTAGCACTAGTCCTAACAACATGTTAATTCATGCTAGAAACACACTAATTTATGTTACAAACATGCACATTCTTGCTAGCAACATGTTAGAAAGATGCTAACAATGTGTTAATTCACGGTAAGACCTAATGTTTACGTAATAGCTATAAGATATATAAGAGAAGGTTATGCTAGAAACATGTTAGTTGATGCTAAATCTTAGTAACACATCTAATTTATTTTAGGAATATATCAAATTATGTGTTAGAATATGTTAAATTCTAAATCATGCTAGCAGCATGCTAACAGCTCATACTAGAAGCAGTAAAGCAACATTCTAATTCATGCTAGTTATATGCTAGCAACGACAATTAATGCTGAAAATGCTGATTACATTCTAACTTATTTTAAGTTTAAAACTTTAGCAAAGTAGGGTACCAATTCCGGCTAACATGCTAATTCATGGTAGAAAGATGCTAACAACTAATTTATGATGAAAACATAATTTTTTACTAAATAGCTACAGTATGTATGCTAGCGATATGTTAACCATACAAGATAGATGTTAGTAATATTATTTCTAATGCAAACTTCTATGTTAGAAACGTGTTAGTTATAAGATAAGTAAGTAACATGCTAGCAAAATGCTAATTCATACTAGAAGCATTGAAGCAACATTCATATTCCTACTATAGTTGTGCGGTAACAACATGACAGCTAATGCTGTTGGAAGCGTGTTGATAACATCATAAATTATTTTGAACCGTTAATGATAACACAGTACTAATTTCTGCGTACAACATGCTAATTCACATTGTAAACATACTTAACAAACATAACAATGTGCTAACCATAATAATGTTATCATTTTTATGCCAATATGTTAATCCCCTGCTGAAAAATCCAGCTTAAACCAGCCTAGGCTGTTTTAAGCTGGATTTTTCAGCAGGGTCTTTGTAAAGTTTTGCTAACATCTAATTTATGTTAGAAATATGTCAGCTATGTTAAGTTAAAAACATGCTAGCAACATTCTAATTTGTGCTAGGAACTTGGTGTTATTTCATACGTGCTGTTATGTGCTAACAACATGCTAAATTATGCTGGAAACGTGTACTGTAAGTAGCATGATAATTGGTTTTAATCTTAAACATTAACAAAGTACATTAACAAATTTCTGCTATGCTAGCATATGCCAACATGCTAATTCGTGATAAAAAACATAATGTTTACTAAATAGCCACAGTATAAGCTACAACAATATGCTAACCATACAGGATAAAGCATTATTTTTAAGCCAAGAAATATGTTAATTAATGTAAATTTTTGGAGACAAATATCTAATTTATGTTAGAAATATGGTACCTATATGTTAAGTAAAAAATAGTTAAATTCAAAATTCAAATTCATGTTATCGACATGACATGCTACTTCATGTTGTAAACATTCTTAACCGCATGTTAATTCATGCTAGAAACATGTTAATTCTATCGAACAACATGCAATTCATAAAAAAACATGCTTAACATATTAATTCGCACTAGAAACAGGCTAATTTAAACTTGCAAATTCTTGTTAACAGCCTGTTAGAAAGATGCTAACAATGTGTTAATTCACAGTAAAAACATTTTTGGTTTTTTTTTTGCTATTTTTACTAAATAGCTGCAATATATGTTAACAATATGCTAACCATACAAGATTAAATTTAGCAATAAGATTTTAATGCTAGAAACATGTTAATTAAGGCTGATTCTTGGTAACAAATATTTAATTTATGTTTAAAATATGTTAGCTTTACATTACGTTGTAAACATTTTACTTTATGCAAGGAACATGCTGGCCATATGCTAATTCATACTAGAAGCACTAAAGCAACATTCAAATTGTACAATATTATTTTATAATTATTAAAAAAATACTAACAACATGCTAATTTATGCAGCAAACATGCAGATTCTATCCAACTATGATAATTATTAAAAAAGATGCTAACAACATGCCACACATCTAATTATTATGTTGTAATTCTAGCTAACATGATATTTATTGTAAAAAAATATGTTAATAACATGCCAGTTCATGCAAAAAAACATGCAAATTCTAGCTAACAGCATGACCATTTTTTTAAAACATGCTAACAACATGCAGCAAACATGCAAATTCTAACAACATAAATATTGCAAAAAATATATGCTAGCAACATGCTAATTCATGTTAGAAACATGTCAATATTGTTACCAATATGTTAAAATCTAGCAAATTAATGTTTAAAAAATATTTCAGCCAAAATAATTTAAGTAAATTATGTAAATTTGGTTTTAATAAAACTGACAAATATATTTTATCATTATTGTTTCATTGTTACATTTTTCTTTGGTATTAATACAGCATTACCTTTTACTTGAGTACTCAATTTTAAGGTGAAAATCTACATTGATATCCCACCTGACGGGTCTTTGGAGCTCATATTTGGCATCAGTGTGGTCTCTGAAGCTCCGGTGATGTGTTTGGGAGTCTGAAAGTGTAAGTTTTTTTTCTCAGGTCTGGGAGACATGGCCGTGTCCAACACTATCGGCAGTAACGTGTTTGACATTCTGGTGGGTCTCGGTGTCCCATGGGCTCTGCAGACCATGGCCGTCAACTACGGATCAGTGGTAAGCACATTTCTCCACTCTTTGTGTTTGGACAGAGATCAAGCTGTGCTCCTGTGAAACCCGTTACTGAAAGATCTATTTACAGCTAAGGGTAAAATTATCATGGCCTCCTGCCCTTCTGTAAAATTTTAATTGTTTTTCAAATATTTACCAAGTGCTGATTTACACAGAAAGGACATTTTCACAGTATTTCCTAATCGATTTTTTGTTCTGGAGAAAAATTGCTAGAAGGAAATCAAATATACCTCCCCTGCTGACAAATCCAGCTTAAACCAGCCTAAGCTGGTTGGCTGGTTTTAGCTGGTCGACCAGGCTGGTTTTAGAGGGGTTTTGGCCACTTCCAGGCTGGTTTCCAGCCATTTCCAGCCTGGTCTTAGCTGGTCAGGCTGGGAGATGACCAGCTAAAACCAGCTTGACCAGCCTAGCCAAGCTGGGAGTCCAGCCAAAACCAGCTATATCCAGCTTAAACCAGGCTGGTCAAAAACCCCTCTAAAACCAGCCTGGTCAACCAGCTAAAACCAGCCAACCAGCCTAGGCTGGTTTAAGCTGGATTTTTCAGCAGGGTCTTTATGAAATATGTAGAAAAACACAACATATTTACCTAAATCCACAAAATATGAAAGCAACATGTCAATTCATGCTAGAAACATGCACATTTATGCTACAAACATGCACAATCTTGCTAACAGCATGTTAGAAAGATGCTAACAATGTGTTAATTCATAATAAAAACATATTGTAATAATAGCTACAGTACAAATGCTAAGATAAATGTTAGCAATATTGCTTGTTATACTGGAAGCATGTACTGGTACACATCTGAAAGTTAGAAACATCCTGGCAAAACTGCTAGCAACATGCTAATTCACACTAGAAGCAATTAGAACATTCTAATTCATGCTAATTATAGCATGCTAAGTCATGCTAAGTCAAGTTAGATGCTAATTCATGGTAAAAACATAATGTTTGCATAATAGCTACGGTGTATATGCTAACCATACAAGACAAATGTTAGCAATGTTGTTTTTATGCTAGAAACATGTTAATTAATGCTAACTATTGGTAACATCTAATTTATTTTATAAATATGTTAAGTTATAAACATGCTAACAAAACTCTAATTTATGCTAGTAACATCCTAGCAACATGCTACTTCATATAAGCAGTGAAGGGAACATTCTAATTCATGCTAGTTATATGCTAGCAACATGCTAATTAATGCTGGAAATACGTGCTAATTCATTTTAAGCTTAAAACTCCAGCAAAGCACAAATTCCTGCTAACAACATGCTAAGTCAAGTTAGAAAAATACTAAACTTCATGCAACCATAAATGTTATGCTAAACATGTTAATTAATCCTAATTCTTGGTATCATCTAATTTATATTAGAAATATGTTATATTAGCCACAGGCTAGCAGTATTGTAATTCATGCTTGTAGCATGCTAATTCATACGTGAAGCAGCAAAGCAACATTCTAATTCACAGTCCTTAAGTGCTAGCAAACATGCTAATTTATGCTGGAAACACATGCTAATGTATTTTAAACAAAAAATATGCAATGTACTATCAACATGCTAACTAGTGTTGGAAACATGCTAGCAACATGTATACCAGAAACATGCTATTTTATGCAATAAACATGTATATTCCAGCTAACAACATGAAAATTATTGTAAGAAAGATGCTAGCAATTATACTAATTCATGTTAGAAACATATTAACTACCTGCTAATTAATTAATTAATTAATTTAAAACAAGCAAATAAATTTTTACTAAATATTTTAGGTCAAATAATAAAATTAAATTATGTTAAATGTTGATCTCATTACCCTTTATTAACGATGAATAATAAAAAAATTATGAATTTTAATGACAATTAATGATACCAGATTACATTTAGACATTTCCCAATACTGGGTTGCAGCTGAAAGGGTATCTGCTGCGTTAAACATATGCTGGAATAGTTGGCAGTTCATTCCGCTGTAGCGACCCCTGATAAATAAGGGACCAAGTTGAAGGAAAATGAAAGAATGAATGATAATCATAGTCTTCATTGGGATGGTTTAAAGTTGGTGTTTTCTGTCTGTTCAGGTGATGATCAACAGTCGGGGTCTGCTGTATTCGGTTGTGCTTCTTCTGGGCTCCGTCGCTCTCACCGTGAGTCACTCAGAAAATTAATGACTTTTTCTGTCACATCTGTTGAAAAGATTGCAGAAACGTTCACTTTTGAATGACGGGTGCTCCAGTTTGCAAACTAGAAATTCTTTGGAAATATTAAAGGGATTGTTCACCCAAAAATGAAAATTCTGTCATCATTTACTTACCTTTCACTTATTCCAAATCTGTTTGAGTTTCTTTCTTTTGTGTTCAACAGTAGAAAGACTGTCATAAAGGTTTAAATCCATTTGAGGGAAAGTAAATAATGAATATAGTGATTTTTGCTAAAATATTCATAATAGTAGCATTAAAATTGATTGGCAGACTTAAATTTGTGCTACGCTAGAATATACATTTACTAAAAATTATAAACATCTGCCTAACCCTAACCCTGACCTAACCCTTACCCTAACCTAACCTAACCTAACTCTAATGCTGTGTTCACACCAGACGCAGAAGGTGTGTCAAGCGCGAGGGATTTAGATGTTAAGTCAATGCAAACGTGCAAATAGACATCCTGCGGTGCGATACGTGTGAATTGCGCGGTGCGAATGATGCGATATGCGTGAATGCGGCACAGCGTGAATTGAACGTTTTCCGTGTTTGACCCACCTAACGCGCGTTTTGTGCAAATCGCTCGAGTTCAAAAATCTGAATTTAAGCAGACATTCACGCCGCGTTATCCAATCCGGAGCTTGTAAAGTAATTGTGACGTAACGCCTGTTGTTGGTGTCCCGACAACCCCCTGTGCCCCTGTTGTTGGGAAAATCCTCAAGCCGACACCGACAACAGTTCAACAAACTGGGCTGGGCTCAGTCAGAGGCACTGCTGAAAGCCTCCATCATCCAGGTTCAGTTTCTGGAGGAGTTTATTCACCTTATTCTCAGCTGTCGAGCGGGCGCTGCGATTTGAATCTTTTTGTCTCGCGACTTCCGGTCACATTCACTTCCATTCATTTTTTGACGTTAACAACTGCTCGTTGCGCTGCTTGATGTTGCAATTTAATATTTTCTTATTATATTATGCTACTTGGTCTGTATGGTAATGCAAACATTTGTTTGTTGAGCAAGTACTTTGGCCATTTCTGCCGTTTATTATTCCTTGTCATTTCTCCCATAGGCGACTGAATCGGAAGTTCTAAGACAATCGCAAAAACAGGCGCACTTCCGCATTTTAGAATAAGGCCAATAAGCTCACAGAGCTGGATGCACCTCTGAAAGGATCTAGTGGACTCAAACACGGCCCTAAACGTATCAACACTGTTTTTCAGCCTTCATAAAGCACATAAACACTGTTATTTTTTAAATAAAATCCATGTTAGCCATTTAGCAATGAAGCTAGAGTCACCGGGCAGACAGAAGCCCTGCCAATCACGCAAATATTTACGCTTGAATAACGCAATTTATCCGCGCGTTTCGCGCCTGGTGTGAACACTGCATAACCCACACCCTACCCTAACCCTAAAATCCTATAGTTGTAACATCACAAATACACTTATCTTCATTATTAAAATACAAAGTGCTATGTATGTTTATGTATTTGATTTTCCTAAAATAACACTTTTTGTATTTACCTTATTCTCCGCCGAGAGCGGGCGCTGCGATTTGAATCTTTTTGTCTCGCGACTTCCGGTCTCATTCACTTCCATTCATTTTTTGACATTAAAAACTGCTCGATACGCTGCTTGATGTTGCAATTTGATATTTTCTTATTATATTATTCTACTTGGTCTGTATAGTCATGCAAACATTTGTTTGTTGAGCAAGTAGTTTGACCGTTTTCTGCCGTTTATTATTCCTAGTCATTTCTCCCATAGGCGGCTGAATCGGAAGTTCTAAGACAATCGCAAAAACAGGCGCACTTCCACATTTTAGAATAAGGTCAATACATTTTGTATTAATTGCTCAATGTTTTGATATTCATTTAGTATTTTAGTTGATTAAAAAAATGAATATTTCTGATATATTTGATCACTTGAACATTTTTCACATTGGCATTACTTAAAATGCATATTGCAGGTTTTGGTTTTCGCTTACGAATTAAAAAATGGTGAATCATTTTATATAAGTCAAATCAAATTACATTAAATATACACTTATTAGTTAAAGTTTGAAGTAAAATTACAGTTGCATGAACTAAATATGATATATTTTGGATTTGATTTTGAATTGTTGATAAAATCTATTAAAAATTAATACAAATTTACCCTGATAATATATAAATGACAGTTACTACAAAGTGACTGACAGCTGCTTTAATCTGAAGATCACTTAAAGAGCCCATATTATACATGAAATAGGGTCATATCTTGGTTGTAAGGGTTTCCAACAAAAGTTTAATATCCATGCAAGGTCAAAAAACACTTTCGTGGTCTTATAATCTGCATTTATTTTTACCTAATTATCCCAGCGACTCCCGTATGAATCGTCCAGTGATTCATTTGTTCCCAAACCCCTCCTTAGCGCGAAGCTAATCTGCGCTGATTGGACCAATGACAGCCTGTTGCGATTGGTCGACTGCCTTCAGTCGGAGTGAAATGCCCAACAGCTAATCAGCAATATAAAAGTAATCACAGTTCATACACGCTCGATAGTATAGACGTGGATTTTAGCTGCCAGTGGGTCAATGTAAATACAGTCAATGGACTTGAAAATACAGACGACTAACTATTTTATTGAGCAAAAAACTCCAAAAACTGTCGAGGAGATCACATAGCTTGTCGCACTCTGCTCTTTTCACAGACACAAACACACACACACACACAAACATTGCCCTCGTCCCCGCACACACACACACCTCCGGGCGACAACGCGCGCGCACACACACACAAACACACACACACATACCTCCGGACGACAGCGCACGCACACACACACTACCCTCGTCCACGGAGCTCCGTAAACAAAGCAGCACGCGTCGCGTTTTTAACGTGTCTTTGCATGCGATAAGAGAATATAGCCAGTTAACCTGATACAGTACACGCGGTTACAAGTAACAAATCACAACTAAATACATTTGCAAGCTAGAGTCAACGAGGCAACTTTAACCGCACGTACTTACACTTGAGAAATGGAGGAAGAAACCGATCCTGACGTCCATTAGTAAGTTACTCTTTACTGATCCTTCCTTTAACAAACGCCGATGAAGTATTCTTTGTAGCATGTAGTTTCCAGAAGTTTCCAGTAGTTTCCAACTGCTTGGTTATAATGCTGAGGTTTCATCTTTGGGTAGAGACTCGATATAATATCCATCTGCAGTGTGACTTCAATCGACTGGCATGTTTGTGTGTGTGTGGGTGTGTGTGTGTGTGTCTAAGTATCTGCGTCAGAGGGCGGGGCCTTAGGTTTGAAATCTCCCGGGTTTGCGCGTGCACGTGAATAACTTGGTTTCGTTCGTACGTCATGCCGAAACACCTAATCTCGGTATCAAGGCGACTCGTTTGAAGCACTATGAGTCGACTCTTTTATAGATGAATCAACCGTTTTAAACACTGTACTCTTACAGATTTAAGCCTTAGCTGGATACTTCACTTCACTTAGAGCTGTGTTACACACTACATGGAGGGGAATTTTCAAAAACTCATAATATGGGCTCTTTAAGCGTTTTTAAATTATCAGAACATATTACAGTTGTGGGCAAAATTATTTTTTATTTTTCTAATGTTTCCTAAATGTTGTTTAACAGCAAGGAAATTTTCACAGCATGTCTGATAATATTTTTTCATCTGGGGATTGTCTAATTTTTTTTATTTTGGCTAGAATAAAAGCAGTTTTTAATAAATAAATAAATAAAAACATTTTAAGGTCAATATTATTAACCCCCTTAAGCAATATTTGTTTCCAATGTCTACAGAACAAACCATCATTATACAATAACTTGCCTAATTACCCTAGTTAAGCCTTTAAATGTCACATTAAGCTGAATACTAGTATCTTGAAAAAATCTAGTCAAATATTATTTACTGTCATCATGGCAAAGATAAAATAAATCAGTTATTAGAAATGAGTTATTAAAACTTTTTAGAAATGTGTTGCAAAAATATCCCTTTCCCTTAAACAGAAATTAGGGAAAAAATATACAAGGGGCCTAATAATTCAGGAGGGCTAATAAATCTGACTCTAACTTTATATAAACATCTTTTTGTCCTTTAGATTCTGGGGATTCACCTGAACCACTGGAAGCTGGACTTTAAGCTGGGTGTTTATGTGCTGCTGCTGTACGCCGTCTTCCTCTGCTTCTCCATCATGATCGAATACAACGTCTTCACCTTCGTCAACTTACCCATGTGTCGGGAAGACTAGGAACCATGCCACATCCCACAATGCACCATTCTGATGCCACGATCACCGCAAAAACTGGACGAATGTGAGTCGTCAACAACACTAACGCTCGACTGAAAATCCTCCAACGAGTCTCGCTTTTCACTGTGGATGGATTGGATCTTCCTGATAAGCTAATTTTTTGCCACATTTTCTCCTAGAAAGAGGAACTTCTCCTTGGCAGCTTTTCTCTCTTCCAGTTGAGGATCTTTAAAATCTCCAAAAATGCATTATGGAAAATGTGGATTGCGCTAGGAGGGTAGATCAACATTCGCCTTTTTCTTCACGCCGTTTTCTTCACTGGTTCAAGTTCATTTATTTGTAAAGTGTTCGCTTGTTTCTCAGTTTTTTGGCCATTGACCAGTGGATGACATTAACTGGTGGCTCCACCCACTATAATATTTTATCTTTTGTCCAAATATTTGCATATACAGATCAGTGGAGGAAATTGACTAGTGGTTCCACCCACTATGATATTTAATGGGTTCAAATATATGCATATATAGACCAGTTAAGTAAAATTAACTAGTGGCTCCACCCACTATGACCTCTCATGGATCCAAATATTTGCATATGTAGACCAGATGGAGGATTTTAACTGGGGGCTTCACCCACTTGAACATCTTATTGGTCCATATATTTGCATATGTTGACCAGTAGAGGAAATTAACAGTTGGCTCCACCCATTATAGCATCTTATTGGTCCAAATATGTGGATATGTAAACCAGCAAGGGAAATTAACTATTAGCTCCACCCACTGTAATATCTTATTGGTCTAAATATTTGCATATGCAGACTAGTAGAGGAAATTAACTGGTGGCTCCACCCACTATGACCTCTCATTGGTCCAAATATTTGCATTTGCAGACCAGATGGAGAAAATTAACTGAGGGCTCCACCCACTTAACATCTTATTGGTCTACATAGTTACATATGTAGACCAGTGAAGGAAATTAACTGCTGGCTCCACCCGCTATGACATCTTATTAGTCCAAATATTTGCATATGTAGACTAGTAGAGGAAATTAATTATTGACTCCACCCACTATGACCTCTCAATTGTCCAAATATCTGCATATGTAAACCAACAGGTTAAATTAACTATTGGCTCCACCCACTGTAAAATCTTATTGGTCTAAATATTTGCATATGCAGACTAGTAGAGGAAATTAACTAGTGGCTCCTCCCACTATGACCTCGCATTGGTCCAATATTTACATATGTAGACCAGTGGAGGAAATTAACTGTTGGCTCCACCCACTATGACATCTTATTGGTCCAAATATTTGCATATGTAGACCAGTGGAGGAAATTAACTATTGGCTCCACCCACTATGACATCTTATTGGTCCAAATATTTCCATATATAGACCAGTGGAGAAAATAAACCATTGGCTCCGCCCCTTATGACATTTAATTGGTCCAAATAAATGCTTATGTAGACCAGTGGAGGAAATTAACGTGTGGCTCCACTCACTGTAACCTCTCATTAGTCCAAATATTTGCATATGTAAACTAGTGGAGGGAAATAACTGGTGGCCCCATCCACTTTAACATCTCATTGGTCCAAATATTTGCATATGTAGACGAGTTGAGGAAATTGACCAATGGCTCAACCCTCTATGATATTTAATTGGTTCAAATATATGGATATGTAGACCAGTTGAGGAAATTGACCAATGGCTTCACCCACTATGATATGTAATTGGTGCAAGTATTTGCATATGTAGGCCAGTTGAGGGAACTGACCAATGGCTCCACTCACTATGATATTTTTAATTGGTTCAAATGTAGGCCGATTGAGTAAATGTAACTGGTAGCTCCACCCATTAGACCTCTCATTGATCCAAATATGTGCATATGTAGAACAGTGGAAGGAAATAGCCATTAACTCCACCCACTATAACAGCTCATTGGTCCAAATATGTGCATATAAAGCGTTAAGAATGCTAATTGTTGCAGCATGCAAAACAGTGTCAGTAATATAATACTCAATACAAGATAATTCTACCCTTAATTATTCTTAAGGGTAAATCTGACTAAATGTATAGTCACACTACTATGTTCAGTCTTTTTTTTCCTAATCTAAACATCATTAAAACAAGATAGATTTACCTGAAAAAGATAAATAAGTAGCCAATTAATTAGAAAATTATCCTCTCCATGTCTACATAAGTTTATGTGTAAAAAAAAAAAAAGAAGATATTTATGCAAATAAAATCAAAGTATTACACATCATGCACTTTTATTGTAATATGAATTATGCTTAAAAAGGAAGAACAGCATTTAGGAATGGCCAAATAAATTAAAGCATACTGTCATGTTTACCAGTGAACAAACCACCAGATGTCGCTGGTAAACACTCACTCATGAAACTACAAATCTGCCAGGTAATGGACTTCAACTTCATACATGCTCTTCCCCCACACACCTGCTTTCTCATTTAGCTTGCTTTACATTCACACCTGAGGACTTTCAGAGACTGATTAACACACACTATTTAAGCCACACATTCACTCCTTCAGTTGGCCGAGTCTTCTGTAACGCCGGGGAGTGACACCAACAACAGAAGGTAGGATCCAAATGCAGGTTTATTCAAAGTCAGGTAAGCGATGGTCAACACAGGTGCAAACAGATCTATACAGGCAGTCCAGAATCGTAGTCAAACACAGGCGAGGGGTCAGAAGGCAGGTGGCTAAACAGGAGAACTGGATAAACAAAGCTAAGATCAAAACACAGGAAAACAAGACCAGGATAACGCGTAGTAATGTCACCTTACAGGTAAACAAGACTCGGCAAACTGAAGGAGTGAATGTGTGGCTTAAATAGTGTGTGTTAATCAGTCTCTGAAAGTCCTCAGGTGTGAATGTAAATCAAGCTAAATGAGAAAGCAGGTGTGTGGGCGAAGAGCATGTATGAAGTTGAAGTCCATTAACTGGCAGATTTGTAGTTTCATGAGTGAGTGTTTACCAGCGACATCTGGTGGTTTGTTCACTGGTAAACATGACACATACTAACAAAAATGAAATAATTTGGATAATGAGGTAAGTTCAAAATATATCAATTTTAAGCAGATAGATATATTTTTAGTTATTAAATTCCAATGAGATCATAATTTACTATGTTTAGTTTGCTAGTGCACCTTGCCATTTTTGACAATTAATCTGAGCAAGTTAATACACTGAAAAAAAAACAGATAATATTTAATCAAAATCTGACCATCTGCTTTACATCTTGAACAGCCCTTCTCTGATTGGACAAAATTAACATTGCCACGCCCCTGCAACAAATTGTTTGCAGAGAGCAAAAAATGATAGGAGGATCCCCGAAATAAACCCCGCCCCCTACTAAATATTTAATTTTAGTTTGAATAATGCAAATCAAACGTCTGCTGCAACTTGAACAATTTGGACACTTTAAGTGTTTTCAGTGTTTAAACAAAAAAATTTTAGCATTTAGAAAATCAAGAGAAATCCAAATATGGCTTAAATACATATCTTGTTTAAAAGATATTTAGATTTTTAATTCTCTCTAGAAAACCAGACTTAAATACTGATTATGCCTGATTTCGTTTTGCAAAGAAGTTGTCTCTCTTTTTTTTTTCCTATGTACAAAACATGATTCTGATTTGAGTATTTCAGATGTTTTGCAGCGGCCTCTTTGAGGGCTAAAACTTGCCTATGAAGAGATTTAATGATCATATTGATTTCTGTGCGCATCTTCAGTGTGCTTTCATGACATTCAGTCCTTTAAACACAGGTTTAGAGATGCGGGATGGTGTTTATTCATTGTGAAATGTAGAAACGAGCACTTTAAAGTAAGCGAGCCGTTTAGTCTCATTCAGAAGTGCTTCCCTGATGTGTGTGTGTGTGTGTGTGTGAGTGTGTTTGTGGATAAATGTTTATGTGTGTGTGTATAAGGAGAAAAATCTTCAAACAAAATCTCTCGCTTCACCCGAAAAAAAAACAAAACCTCTGTAAAATGTGTTTCTGTTTAACTTTCCAGTGCAAACATCTCAACGTTCTGAAATCAAGCAGCAAAAGACTTTATTAAGCCTTAAAACAAGAACAAATATCAGACAAAAATTATATAAACTATGTCGGGAAACAATATTATTTTTCTTATTTCTTATTGTTTATTATTTTGCAGTTGAAGTCAAAATTATTAGCCTTCTTGTAGGGCTGCTCGATTATGGGAAAAATCATAATCACGATTATTTTGGTCATAATTGTAATCACAATTATTCAAAATGATTATCAGTTGAAGTCAAAATTATTCGCCTTTCTGTGAATTTATTTTTATATACAAATATTTCCCAAATTATCGTTAACAGAGCAAATTTTTACAGTATTTCACTGTAAATTTTTTCAGCTAGAAAAAAATCAGGTTTAAATATATTGAAACCTATTTTAATAGCTCAATATTATTAGCCCCCTTCAGCAATATATATTTTAATTGTCTGCTGAAGAAACTACTGTTACATAATGACTTGCCTATTTACTCTAATTAAGCCTTTGAATGTCACTTTAAGCTGAATACTAGTATATTGAAAAATATCTAGTATAATATAATGTGCTGTCATCATAGCAAAGATAAAATAAATCAGTTATTAGAGATGAGCTATTAAATCTGTTATGAACTGTGCTTTAAGCATCTTCACTGTAAGAAAAAAACTTTACTGTAACTACAAAAGTCCTTCAGTCAAGAGCAGTGAGTGGATTTTGTCCTTTTGTTTAATTGATAATAAAAACAGCAGCAGGAATATCGCACGCTGTCACTTTAGGAATAGTGAGGCTCCGATATGGTTGCTCTTTCACGTGTCTTTTGATTCTCAACTTGTTTGTTTATTACACAAATGAGGATTAATATGAATAATCACTAAACACCGTGCACTGAAAAAAAATTCAGAGATGATTCCTTGGATATACTCAATTTTGTTACATTAAGTGGTTGTAAACAATGTATTTGTGTTGAATTTAAACAAACAAATTAAGTTGAACATTATAAAACTTAATTTGTTTGTTTAAATTCAACACAAATAAATTGTTTGCAACAGTTCTGCATGCATCACTTTTTTCAGTGCATTTATTTGACCATTAAAGCGCTCGCATTAAGATTAGATCATCACAAACACACACACAATACCTGTCCGAGGCTAAGCGCAGCGCGCACACACACAACAGGACGTGCTCTTTCGCGCTTTTAAAAATATGAATGATGCGCATCCCGTGCTGCAAAAGTTACATTACAGCACATCTTTCAGTCACTTTCACGTGGAACTGGAAAGGGGGCGGTATATGATGGAATAATCGTTTATCTCGATTAATGGTTTTTCATAATCGTTAGAAGCTGTAATCGAAATTGAAACCGGATTTTCGATTAATTGCACAGCCCTACCTTCTTGTGAGTTTTTTTTTTGGATAGTATTTCCATTTTAATAACTAATTTCTAATGACTGTAACTAATAACCATTACAGTGCATATTGCTTTACTAGTTGTTTTATTTTATTTAGGCATGTTAGATTAATTAGGCAAGTCATTGGACAACAGCGGTTTGTTTTGTAGCCAGTAATATTGATATAAAAAAAATACATTTATTCCAGTTAAAAATACTGTGAAAATTTCACTGAGATGATTTAGGAAATATTTGAAAAAGTATTACAACTTCACTGGAGCGCTAATATTTATTTATTTTTTATATGTTATTGAAGTGTCTCCTTATCACATGCACAAAAATACAAACTAATTTTTAAAAGGATTTAAAGCATGAAAACTTGTGAAAAGTAGCATATTCACATCATTTTTGAGAAAAAAATCATTGTGAGAAAGAGGGAGGGGGAAAGAAGGAAGAAATGGAATGGTAGGAAGGATGGAAGAAAGGGAATAGAAGGAAGGAAGTGGATGGAAAGAAGGAAGATAGAGGAAGGAAGGAAGGAAGGAAGAAAGAAAGAAGAGAAGGAAGAGGAGGACGGAAAGAGATGGATGGAAGAATGAGGAGGGAAGGAAGGGAGGAAGGAGAGAAGGGGGAGGAGGAAGGAATGAGATGGAAGGAAGAACGAGGAAGGAAGGAGGAGGAAGGAAGGCGATGGAAGGAAGGAAGAAAGGAAAGGGATGGAAGAAAGAAAGAGTGAGAATGGAAGGAAGAGGTAGAAGAGGAAGGAAGGGGATGGATAGGGATGGAAGGAAGGAAGAGGGGAAGGAGGAGGAAGGGTGAAAGGAATGAAAGAGGAAGAAGGAGAGAAGGAAAGAAGGAAGAGGAGGAGAAGGAAGGAAGGAAGAAGAGAAGGAATGGGGAAGGGAAAGCTAGGATGAAGGGAAGGGAGTAAGGAAAGATAGGAGGAAAGGGAGAGGAAGGAAGGAAGGAAGGAAGGAAAGAAGAGGGAGTGGGAAGGATGGAGGAGGAGAAGAAAGAAGGAAAGTATCAAGAAAGAGGGAAGGAATAGAGTAGGGGGAAGGAAGGAAAGAATGAAATAGGAGGAGGAGGAGGAAAGAAAGGGATGGAAGAAAGTAAGAGAATGAGGATTGAAGGAAGGAAAAATTAGGAAGGCGGAGGAGGTGGAAGGAAGGTAGGGAGTAAGGAAGGAAGGGTGGAAGGAAGGAATGAGGAGGAAGGAAGGAAGAGGAGGAAGAGAAAGGAAAAAAGAAAGGGATAAATAAAGGGAGGGGGAAGCAAGGGAAACAGTGAAGGAAAAAAGAAAGAAAGGAGGGGAGGAGGAAGGAGGAGATGAAAGGAAGGAAGAATGAAAGGGGAGGATGGGGAAGGAATGGAGGAGCAGGGGGAAGGAAGGAAGGAGTAGGGAGAATGAAGGAAGGAAGGAAGAGGGAGGGTGAGGGAAGGAATGAAGGAGTAGGGGGAAGGAAGGAAAAAATGAAAGAGGAGGAGGAGAAGCAGCAAGAAAAGGGATGAAAGGAATAACAAGAATGGAAGGAGGAGGAAGGAAGGAATGAGGATGGAAGAAAGGAGGAGGAGGAGGAGGAGGAAGGAAGGATGGGGGAAGGAAGGAAGGAAGGAAGGAAGGAAGGAAAAGAGAGAGGGAAGAAAGGAAGAGGAAGAAAGACGAGGAGGGGGGAGATGAAGAGAAAAAAGAGAAAGAAAGAAAGAATGAAAAAAGGAAGACATGAGGAGGATGAAGGAAGGAGGAAGATGAAGGATTTGAAAGCTTTGTAGAATGTTTATTGTATTCTATTCTAACATTCTAATAAACCATTCTCAGTCTTAAGAGGAAGTCTTGTAGGAGGTCAGGCACTGCAGTGATGGCTCTGCTCTAGTAAATGAATGCTGATTGAGGGATGTTGTTAGATTTGTGCTGGCGAGCAGAAACACAGCAGAAGCTCGTATTTTTCTGGATCTGCACTGTTGGAC